CCACTCATCCACCCATCCACCCATCCATCCACCCACCCATCCATCCATCCATCCATCCATCCATCCTTCCATCCATCCTTCCCCTCTTCCTTTCATCCATCCTTCCATCCATCCTTCCCCTCTTCCTTCCATCCATCCTTCCACCCATCCTTCCCCTTTTCCTTCCTTCCATACTTTTTCTCTTCCTTCCACCCATCCTTCCCCTCTTCCTTCCATTCATCCTTCCCCTCTTCCTTCTGTCCATCCTTCCCCTCTTCCTTCCATCCATCCTTCCCCTCTTCCTTCCATCCATCCTTCCATCCATCCTTCCCCTCTTCCTTCCATCCATCCTTCCCCTCTTCCTTCCATCCATCCTTCCATCCATCCTTCCCCTCTTCCTTCCTTCCATCCTTCCCCTCTTCCTTCCTTCCATCCTTCCCCTCTTCCTTCCACCCATCCTTCCCCTCTTCCTTCTGTCCATCCTTCCCCTCTTCCTTCCATCCATCCTTCCCCTCTTCCTTCCATCCATCCTTCCCCTCTTCCTTCTGTCCATCCTTCCCCTCTTCCTTCCTTCCATCCTTCCCCTCTTCCTTCCATCCATCCTTCCCCTCTTCCTTCCTTCCATCCTTCCCCTCTTCCTTCCATCCATCCTTCCCCTCTTCCTTCCACCCATCCTTCCCCTCTTCCTTCTGTCCATCCTTCCCCTCTTCCTTCCATCCATCCTTCCCCTCTTCCTTCCATCCATCCTTCCATCCATCCTTCCCCTCTTCCTTCCTTCCATCCTTCCCCTCTTCCTTCCATCCATCCTTCCCCTCTTCCTTCCTTCCATCCTTCCCCTCTTCCTTCCATCCATCCTTCCCCTCTTCCTTCCATCCATCCTTCCCCTCTTCCTTTCATCCATCCTTCCATCCATTCTTCCCCTCTTCCTTCCTTCCATCCTTCCGCTCTTCCTTCCATCCATCCTTCCCCTCTTCCTTCCACCCATCCTTCCCCTCTTCCTTCCATCCCTCCTTCCCCTCTTCCTTCCATCCCTCCTTCCCCTCTTCCTTCCATCCCTCCTTCCCCTCTTCCTTCCGTCCATCCTTCCCCTCTTCCTTCCATCCATCGTTCCCCTCTTCCTTCCTTCCATCCTTCCCCTCTTCCTTCCATCCTTCCCCTCTTCCTTCCACCCATCCTTCCCCTCTTCCTTCCCTCCTTCCCCTCTGGGCGGGTCCTGGTGCGGGTGACGGTTTTCCTCCCCCCCTTTCTTCTCCAGCTCCTGCGTGTGAATCAGGCCACGGCCCGGCTTGGCCCAGTTTTCTGTTCCTCGGGGAGCTCGAAACCGCCGGTTGGGCCGCAGCATCATTATGTGAGTCTGCGGGAGGAAATCATGGGGGGGGAGTCCCAGTTCCTCCTGGAGGATGGATGGACAGACAGAGACAGACACAGACAGATACAGACAGACAGACAGACACAGACAGACACAGACAGACAGACAGAGACAGACAGAGACAGACACAGACAGACAGACACAGACAGACAGACAGACACAGACAGACAGACAGACACAGACAGACAGACAGACACAGACAGACACAGACAGACACAGACAGACAGACAGACACAGACAGACAGACAGACACAGACAGACACAGACAGACACAGACAGACAGACACAGACAGACAGACACAGACAGACACAGACAGACAGACACAGACAGACACAGACAGACACAGACAGACACAGACACAGACAGACACAGACAGACACAGACAGACAGACAGACACAGACAGACACAGACAGACACAGATAGACAGACACAGACAGACACAGACAGACAGACAGACAGACACAGACAGACAGACAGACACAGACAGACAGACAGACAGACACAGACAGACAGACACAGACAGACACAGACAGACACAGACAGACAGACAGACACAGACAGACAGACAGACAGACAGACACAGACAGACACAGACAGACAGACACAGACAGACACAGACAGACAGACAGACACAGACAGACACAGACAGACAGACAGACACAGACAGACAGACAGACAGACACAGACAGACAGACAGACAGACACAGACAGACAGACACAGACAGACACAGACAGACACAGACAGACAGACACAGACAGACAGACAGACACAGACAGACAGACAGACAGACACAGACAGACAGACAGACAGACACAGACAGACAGACACAGACAGACACAGACAGACACAGACAGACACAGACAGACAGACAGACAGACACAGACAGACAGACAGACAGACACAGACAGACAGACACAGACAGACACAGACAGACACAGACAGACACAGACAGACAGACACAGACAGACAGACAGACACAGACAGACACAGACAGACACAGACAGACACAGATAGACAGACACAGACAGACACAGACAGACAGACAGACAGACACAGACAGACAGACAGACACAGACAGACAGACAGACAGACACAGACAGACAGACACAGACAGACACAGACAGACACAGACAGACAGACAGACACAGACAGACAGACAGACAGACAGACACAGACAGACACAGACAGACAGACACAGACAGACACAGACAGACAGACAGACACAGACAGACAGACACAGACAGACACAGACAGACAGACACAGACAGACAGACACAGACAGACACAGACAGACAGACACAGACAGACAGACAGACACAGACACAGACAGACACAGACAGACACAGACAGACAGACACAGACAGACAGACACAGACAGACACAGACAGACACAGACAGACACAGACAGACAGACACAGACAGACACAGACAGACAGACAGACACAGACAGACACAGACAGACACAGACAGACAGACAGACACAGACAGACACAGACAGACACAGACAGACACAGACAGACAGACAGACACAGACAGACAGACACAGAGAGACAGATTCCCAGACCCTGTGGAGGGCGTGGATTCGTATCAGCCAATCACAGCGCGCGGGGGCGTGGCCTCACACACAGCGCGGGGGCGTGGCCTCACACAGCGCGGGGGCGTGGCCTCACACAGCGCGCGGGGGCGTGGCCTCACACACACAGCGCGGGGGCGTGGCCTCACACACACACAGCGCGGGGGCGTGGCCTCACACACGCAGCGCGGGGGCGTGGCCTCACACAGCGCGGGGGCGTGGTCTCACACACACAGCGCGGGGGCGTGGTCTCACACACACAGCGCGGGGGCGTGGTCTCACACACACAGCGCGGGGGCGTGGCCTCACACACAGCGCGGGGGCGTGGCCTCACACAGCGCGCGGGGGCGTGGCCTCACACACACAGCGCGGGGGCGTGGCCTCACACAGCGCGCGGGGGCGTGGCCTCACACAGCGCGCGGGGGCGTGGCCTCACACACAGCGCGGGGGCGTGGCCTCACACAGCGCGCGGGGGCGTGGCCTCACACACACAGCGCGGGGGCGTGGCCTCACACACACAGCGCGCGGGGGCGTGGCCTCACACACACAGCGCGGGGGCGTGGCCTCACACACACAGCGCGGGGGCGTGGCCTCACACACACAGCGCGGGGGCGTGGCCTCACACAGCGCGCGGGGGCGTGGCCTCACACACACAGCGCGGGGGCGTGGCCTCACACAGCGCGCGGGGGCGTGGCCTCACACAGCGCGCGGGGGCGTGGCCTCACACACAGCGCGGGGGCGTGGCCTCTCACACACAGCGGGGGGGCGTGGCCTCACACAGCGCGGGGGCGTGGCCTCACACACACAGCGCGCGGGGGCGTGGCCTCACACAGCGCGGGGGCGTGGCCTCACACACACAGCGCGGGGGCGTGGCCTCACACACACAGCGCGGGGGCGTGGCCTCACACACACAGCGCGGGGGCGTGGCCTCACACAGCGCGGGGCGTGGCCTCACACAGCGCGGGGGCGTGGCCTCACACACACAGCGCGGGGGCGTGGCCTCACACAGCGCGGGGGCGTGGCCTCACACACACAGCGCGGGGGCGTGGCCTCACACAGCGCGGGGGCGTGGCCTCACACAGCGCGGGGGCGTGGCCTCACACAGCGCGGGGGCGTGGCCTCACACAGACGCCACTGCGCATGCGCCAGCCCGGCCCCGCCCCCTCCTGACGGAGCATTCCCCGCCGCGCATGCGCAGCGCTGCTCTCTCCCCCCCCCGTGTCCTCCAACCTTCTGCGCATGCGCCCCGGCCCGCACCGCGCATGCGCAACCCTCCCCTGCGTCCCTGTGTCCTTTCGTGTTCTGCGCATGCGCCACGGCCGACAGGGCGCATGCGCAGCCCTGCTCCCCCGCTCCTAGCTCGTTCAGCCTTCTGCGCATGCGCCACTGCCCCCTCCGCGCATGCGCAACGGTGCTGCCCCGCCCCTGTCTCCTCCAGTGTTCTGCGCATGCGCCACGGCCCCCTGGACGCATGCGCAACCCTCCCCTGCGCCCCCCCGTGTCCTTTTGTGTTCTGCGCATGCGCCACGACTCGCTCGGCGCATGCGCAACGGTGCTCCCCCGTCCCTAGCTCGTTCAGCCTTCTGCGCATGCGCCACGGCCCGCAGGGCGCATGCGCAACCCTGCTCGCCGGCCCCTAGGTCGTTCAGCCTTCTGCGCATGCGCGCGGGCCCGTACGGCGCACGCGTAACCGTCCTCCCCCGTCCCTGTCTCCTCCAGTGTTGTGCGCATGCGCCACGGCCCGCAACGCGCATGCGCAATCGTGCTCGCCGGCCCGTAGCTCGTTCAGCCTTCTGCGCATGCGCGAGGGCCCGTACGGCGTACGCGCCACCGTCTACTTCACTCCTATCTCCTCCTACGTTCTGCGCATGCGCCACGGCCCGCAGCGCGCATGCGCAGCCCTCTCCCGCGCCCCTCCCCGTGTGCTCTCGTGTGCTGCGCATGCGCCGCGGCCCGCTCGGCGGCGCCGGGGAGTGACGCGGGGGGCTGGCGACGCCGCGGCGCGCCGGGGATTGGGCGCGGCGGGCTGTGACGCGTTCGGGGCGCGCCGCGGGCGCGGGCGGGCGCGCTGACGTCATGGCGCTGCGGCCCGCGCTGCGGCGCAAGGTGGACGAGCTGTTCCTGCGCTGGCTGAGCGAGCCCGACACGCAGCGCCTGCTGCGCCGGGGCCTGCGCCGCGTGCGCGCATGCGCGGAGCCGGGGCCCGCCGCGCGCGCCCACTGCGCCTGCGCGGGGCCTCCCAGCGCCGCGGCGCCGGCCCACTGCGCCTGCGCGGGGCCTCCCACGGCCGCGGCGCCGGCCCACTGCGCCTGCGCGGCGCCCCCGCCCGCGCCCGCCCGCGCCTGCGCGCTGCGTCCCAGCCCGGCTCCCGCCGCCCGCGCCTGCGCAGTGCGCAGCCCGCCGCCCTCGGCGCGGCCTCCAGGCGTAAGTGAGGCGCTTTGGGGAGGGGGGGGGGAGGGAGGGGGGGGATCGGCGTGACCCCTGACCCCGTGATCCCTGACCCCCGTGACCCCCGTGACCCCTGATTTCGTGACCCCTGACCCCTGTGTCCCAATGACCCCTGACCCCCGTGACCCCGTGACCCTGACCCCGTGTTCCCTGAGACCCCTGACCCCCGTGACCCTGACCCCGTGACCCTCATGACCCCTGACCCCGTGACCCCGTGACCCCTGACCCCGTGTTCCCTGAGACCCCTGACCCCCGTGACCCTGACCCCGTGACCCCCATGACCCCTGACCCCCGTGACCCCGTGACCCCTGACCCTGACCGCTGAGCCCTCCTCCTGATCCCTGAACCCTCCTCCTCCTGACCCCGTGACCCCTGTGACCCCGAGCACCCGTGACCCTGTGACCCCTGACCCCGTGACCCCTGACCCCTGTGACAGCCATGACCCCTGACCACCATGACCCCCTGACCCCTGACCCCGTGACCCCTATGAACCCTGACACCGTGACCCTGTGACCCCTGACCCCGTGACCCCTAACCCCTGTAACCATCATGATCCCTGACCCCCCGTGACCCCTAACCCCTGTGACCCCCTGACCCCTGACCCCTGTTACCCCTGACCCCGTGACCCCGACTCCTGATGCCCGTGACCCCTGAACCCTGATCCCTCCTCCTCCTGATCCCTGTCCACCCGGGGTGAAGGGTCGGCGACCTCTGACCCTCCACCGCCCCCCCCAGCTCGCCGAGCGGGGGTCGGCGGCGCTCGTTCAGCGGAACCTTCCGGGGCTGACAGGGAGGGATCACGGATGAGGACGGGGAAGGGAGGACTAGAGACGGAGAACGGACAGATGGACAGACAGACCGAGACACGGAGAGATAGACGGACAGATGGAGAGACACAGGATGGACAGACAGAGAAACAGAAGACAGACAGACAGACAGACGGAGGACAGACAGACGGAGAGACGGAGGACAGACAGACGGAGAGACAGACAGACGGACAGACGGAGGACAGACAGACGGAGAGACGGAGGACAGACAGACGGAGAGACAGACAGACGGAGAGACGGAGGACAGACAGAGAGACGGAGGACAGACAGATGTAGAGACAGAGGACAGACTGACGGACAGACGGAGAGACGGAGGACACACTGACGGAGAGACAGAGGACAGACAGACACAGGACAGACAGACACAGGACAGACAGACACAGGACACACGGACACAGGACACACAGACACAGGACAGACAGACACAGGACAGACAGACACAGGACACACGGACACAGGACACACAGACACAGGACAGACAGACACAGGACAGACAGACACAGGACACACAGACACAGGACAGACAGACACAGGACAGACAGACACAGGACAGACAGACACAGGACACACGGACACAGGACACACGGACACAGGACAGACAGACACAGGACAGACAGACACAGGACAGACAGACACAGGACAGATGGACACAGGACAGACAGACACAGGACACACGGACGCAGGACAGACGGATGCAGGACACACAGACGCAGGACAGACAGACACAGGACACACGGATGCAGGACACACGGACGCTGTCTGTCTGTCTGTGGCGTTGTCGGTTCCGCCCGGGCCTGTGGCCGCTGTCCGTCCGTCCGTCCGTCCATCCGCCCGTCCGTCCGTCTGTCTGTCTGTCCGTCCGTCTGTCCGTCCGCCCGTCCGTCCGTCCGTCGGTCCGTCTGTTTGTCCGTCCGTCCATCCGTCCGTCCGTCTGTCCGTCTGCCCATTAGTCCGTCCGTCCGCCTGCCCGTCCGTCCGTCCGTCCGTCCGCCCGTCCGTCCATCCATCTGTCCGTCCGTCCGCCCGTCCGTCCGTCTGTCCGTCCGCTCATCCGTCTGTCCGTCCGTCCGTCCGTCCGTCCGTCCATCTGTCTGTCCGTCCACCCGTCCGCCCGTCTGTCCGTCCGTCCATCTGTCCGTCCATCTGTCCGTCCGCCTGTCCGTCCGTCCGCCCGTCCGTCCGTCCGTCCGCCCGTCCGTCCGTCCGCCTGTCCATCCGTCCGTCTGTCCGGGGTGTGTGCGTGTGTCCCCGGCGTCCCCCTGTCCGCCCCCTCCCCCCCCCCGTCCGTCTGTCCCTCCCCCCGGCCGGCCCGGCCTGCGGCAGCAGCTGCGAGCTAAATCCGTCCTGGGCCGGGGCGTGCCGGGGGCGGGGGTGGACGGACGGACGGACGGACGGACGGCCGGCCCCTCCTCCTCCTCCTCCCTGCGGCCTATGGACCCGGCCAGGCCTCGGTGGCTCCGGCCGCCGCCGCAGGCCGAGCCCAGGCCGGCCGCCGGGGTCGGGGGTCGGGGGTCGTGGCGGGCCGCGGCCCCCGACCTGCGCGGGGAGCTGGCCCTGCTGGCCCGGGGCGGCGACCTGGTGCTGCCCTCGCGCGTCAGGAGGCGGCTGCGGGCCGCGCAGCAGGTGGGTGCGTCCGTCCGTCCGTCCGTCCCTGCCTCCCTCCGGCCCGGCCGGCGCTGTGCAACCCCCCGGCCGGCGCTGGCCTGCTCTGTGCTCGGGGCGATTCCGGTGCCCCCCCCCCCCCAGCAGGCCTGTCCGTCGGTCTGTCCACCCTGTAGTGAGCCTGTCCGTCTGTCTGTCTGTCCACCCCGCACCTCCTCCTTCTCTTCTCCCATGGTGTCCGTGTGTCTGTATGTCTGTGTGTCTGTGTGTCTGTCTGTGTGTGTGTCTGTCTGTCTCTGTGTGTGTCCGTCTGTGTGTCCACCCCGCAGTGGGCCCGCCTGTCCGTCCGTCTGTCCACACCACAGTGGGACTGTCTGTCTCCGTCCATGTGTCCAGGTCGCAGTGGGCCTGTCCGTCTGTCTGTCCAGGCCGCAGTGGGCCTGTCCGTCTGTCTGTCCAGGTCGCAGTGGGCCTGTCCGTCTGTCTGTCTGTCCAGGCCGCAGTGGGCCTGTCCGTCTGTCTGTCTGTCCAGCTCGCAGTGGGCCTGTCCGTCTGTCTGTCCAGGCCGCAGTGGGCCTGTCCGTCTGTCTGTCTGTCCAGCTCGCAGTGGGCCTGTCCGTCTGTCTGTCCAGGCCGCAGTGGGCCTGTCCGTCTGTCTGTCCAGGCCGCAGTGGGCCTGTCCGTCTGTCTGTCCAGGCCGCAGTGGGCCTGTCTGTCTGTCTGTCCAGGTCGCAGTGGGCCTGTCCGTCTGTCTGTCCACCCCACAGCGGGCCTGTCTGTCTGTCTGTCCAGGTCGCAGTGGGCCTGTCCGTCTGTCTGTCCAGGCCGCAGTGGGCCTGTCCGTCTGTCTGTCCAGGTCGCAGTGGGCCTGTCCGTCTGTCTGTCTGTCCAGGCCGCAGTGGGCCTGTCCGTCTGTCTGTCTGTCCAGCTCGCAGTGGGCCTGTCCGTCCGTCTGTCCAGGCCGCAGTGGGCCTGTCCGTCTGTCTGTCCAGGTCGCAGTGGGCCTGTCCGTCTGTCTGTCTGTCCAGGCCGCAGTGGGCCTGTCCGTCTGTCTGTCTGTCCAGCTCGCAGTGGGCCTGTCCGTCTGTCTGTCCAGGCCGCAGTGGGCCTGTCCGTCTGTCTGTCTGTCCAGCTCGCAGTGGGCCTGTCCGTCTGTCTGTCCAGGCCGCAGTGGGCCTGTCCGTCTGTCTGTCCAGGCCGCAGTGGGCCTGTCCGTCTGTCTGTCCAGGCCGCAGTGGGCCTGTCTGTCTGTCTGTCCAGGTCGCAGTGGGCCTGTCCGTCTGTCTGTCCACCCCACAGCGGGCCTGTCTGTCTGTCTGTCCAGGTCGCAGTGGGCCTGTCCGTCTGTCTGTCCAGGCCGCAGTGGGCCTGTCCGTCTGTCTGTCCAGGTCGCAGTGGGCCTGTCCGTCTGTCTGTCTGTCCAGGCCGCAGTGGGCCTGTCCGTCTGTCTGTCTGTCCAGCTCGCAGTGGGCCTGTCCGTCCGTCTGTCCAGGCCGCAGTGGGCCTGTCCGTCTGTCTGTCTGTCCAGCTCGCAGTGGGCCTGTCCGTCTGTCTGTCCAGGCCGCAGTGGGCCTGTCCGTCTGTCTGTCCAGGCCGCAGTGGGCCTGTCCGTCTGTCTGTCCAGGCCGCAGTGGGCCTGTCCGTCTGTCTGTCCAGGCCGCAGTGGGCCTGTCCGTCTGTCTGTCCAGGCCGCAGTGGGCCTGTCCGTCTGTCTGTCCAGGTCGCAGTGGGCCTGTCTGTCTGTCTGTCCAGGTCGCAGTGGGCCTGTCCGTCTGTCTGTCTGTCCAGGTCTCAGTGGGCCTGTCCGTCTGTCTGTCCAGCTCGCAGTGGGCCTGTCTGTCCGTCTGTCTGTCCAGGTCTCAGTGGGCCTGTCCGTCTGTCTGTCCAGGTCGCAGTGGGCCTGTCCGTCTGTCTGTCCAGGTCTCAGTGGGCCTGTCCGTCCGTCTGTCTGTCCAGGCTGCAGTGGGCCTGTCCGTCTGTCTGTCCAGGTTGCAGTGGGCCTGTCCGTCTGTCTGTCCAGGTCGCAGTGGGCCTGTCCGTCTGTCTGTTCACACCACAGTGGGCCTGTCCATCTGTCTGTCCACACCACAGTGGGCCTGTCCGTCTGTCTGTCCAGGTCACAGTGGGCCTGTCCGTCCGTCTGTCTGTCCACGCCGCAGTGGGCCTGTCCGTCTGTCTGTCCAGGTCACAGTGGGCCTGTCCGTCCGTCTGTCTGTCCAGGTCGCAGTGGGCCTGTCCGTCTGTCTGTCCAGGTCGCAGTGGGCCTGTCCGTCTGTCTGTCCAGGTCTCAGTGGGCCTGTCTGTCTGTCTGTCCAGGTCGCAGTGGGCCTGTCCGTCTGTCTGTCTGTCCAGGTCGCAGTGGGCCTGTCCGTCTGTCTGTCCACCCCACAGCGGGCCTGTCCATCTGTCTGTCCACACCACAGTGGGCCTGTCCGTCTGTCTGTCCAGGTCGCAGTGGGCCTGTCCGTCTGTCTGTCCACACCACAGTGGGCCTGTCTGTCTGTCTGTCCAGGTCGCAGTGGGCCTGTCCGTCTGTCTGTCCAGGTCGCAGTGGGCCTGTCCGTCTGTCTGTCCACACCACAGTGGGCCTGTCCGTCTGTCTGTCCAGGTCGCAGTGGGCCTGTGCGTCTGTCTGTCCAGGTCGCAGTGGGCCTGTCCGTCTTCTGTCCAGGCTGCAGTGGGCCTGTCCATCCGTCTGTCTGTCCACACCACAGTGGGCCTGTCCGTCTGTCTGTCCAGGCCGCAGTGGGCCTTTCCGTCTGTCTGTCCAGGTCGCAGTGGGCCTGTCCGTCTGTCTGTCCAGGCCGCAGTGGGCCTGTCCGTCTGTCTGTCCAGGTCACAGTGGGCCTGTCCGTCTGTCTGTCTGTCCAGGTCGCAGTGGGCCTGTCCGTCTGTCTGTCCAGGTCGCAGTGGGCCTGTCCGTCTGTCTGTCCAGGTCGCAGTGGGCCTGTCCGTCTGTCTGTCCAGGTCGCAGTGGGCCTGTCCGTCTGTCTGTCCACACCACAGTGGGCCTGTCCGTCTGTCTGTCTGTCCAGGTCGCAGTGGGCCTGTCCGTCTGTCTGTCCAGGTCGCAGTGGGCCTGTCTGTCTGTCCAGGTCGCAGTGGGCCTGTCCGTCTGTCTGTGCAGGCTGCAGTGGGCCTGTCCATCCGTCTGTCTGTCCACACCACAGTGGGCCTGTCTGTCTGTCTGTCCAGGCCGCAGTGGGCCTGTCCGTCTGTCTGTCTGGGTCTGTCTGTGTGTCTCTGTCTGTCTGTCTGTCTGCGTTTGTCTCTGTGTCTGTCTGTCTGTCTGGATCCCTCTGTCCATGTGTCTGTGTCTGTATCTCTGTCCGTCTGTCTGTCTGTGTCTCTGTCCTTCTGTCCATGTGTCTCTCTGTCTGTGGGTCTCGGTCTGTCTGTCTGTCCGTCCATCCATCCATCTGTCCCTGCCTCTGTCTGTCTGTGTGTCCGTCCGTCCGTGTCCATCTGTCTGTCCGTCTGTCCCTCCCTCTGTGTCCGTCTGTCTGTCCATGTCCGTCCGTCCATCCGTCTGTCCATCTGTGTGTCCGTCTGTCTGTCTGTCCGTCTGTCCATGTCTGACTGTCTGTTTCTGTCTGTCTGTCTGTGTCTGTCTGTCTGTGTCTGTGTCTGTCTGTGTCTGTCTGTGTCTGTCTGTCTGTCTGTGTCTGTCTGTGTCTGTCTGTCTGTCTGTGTCTGTGTCTGTCTGTGTCTGTCTGTCTGTCTGTGTCTGTCTGTGTCTGTCTGTGTCTGTCTGTGTCTGTCTGTCTGTGTCTGTCTGTGTCTGTCTGTCTGTCTGTGTCTGTCTGTGTCTGTCTGTGTCTGTCTGTCTGTGTCTGTCTGTCTGTGTCTGTCTGTGTCTGTCTGTCTGTGTCTGTCTGTGTCTGTCTGTGTCTGTCTGTCTGTGTCTGTCTGTCGTCTGTCTGTCTGTCTGTCTGTGTCCGTGCGTCTGGGCCTGCCCACCTCCCACGCCGTCCTGGGCTCCCCCCCCCCCCCGTGCCTCGGTTTCCCCCCTGGACCTTCCACCTCTCCCGGCCCTGTCCGTCCGTCCGTCCGGCCCGTGGTCTGGGGGAGGGATGGAGCCACGGACGGGGGGGGGTCGGGGGTGACCCGCGCTCACCGCTCCTCCTTCCGGAACCTTCCTCCGCAGGCGCAGAGCCGCCGGGCGGCCCCCCCGAGCCCGCCGCCGCCCGCCGGCAGCCGCAGGATCCCCAGCTTCCACTTCCCGCTGGGCCGGCCGCCGCCGCGGGCCGGGGACGTGGACGCCGGCATCGCCCGCGTGGAGGCCGCCTTCGCCCGCCTGCCGCAGGAGAGGGCCACGGCCCGGGACATGGGCGCCGTGGCCAAGGTGGGCGCCTGGGGCGGAGTCGGGGCGCCCCCACGGCTCAGAGACACAGGAAGACGGTTTCAGGGTCCCCCCATGGCTCAGACACACAGGAAGACGGTTTCAGGGATCCCCCACGGCTCAGAGAGACAGAAAGACGGTTTCGGGGATCCCCCCATGGCTCAGACACACACACAAAGACAGTTTTGGGGTCCCCCCCATGGCTCAGACACACACAAACACGGTTTCGGGGTGCCCCCCCATGGCTCAGAGACTTGGGAGGGCAGTTTTGGGGATCCCCCCATGGCTCAGAGACACACAAAGACAGTTTCGGGGATCCCCCCATGGCTCAGAGACACAGAAAGACAGTTTTGGGGT